ATAGACTCTACAAGATACAGTTACATAGGCACTTTATAAGATACAGTTACATAGGGACTCTACAAGATACAGTTACATATAGACTCTACAAGATACAGTTACATAGGGACTCTACAAGATACAGTTACATAGGGACTCTACAAGATACAATTACATATAGACTCTACAAGATACAGTTACATTGGGACTCTACAAGATACAGTTATATATAGACTCTACAAGATACAGTTACATAGGGACTCTACAAGATGCAGTTATATATAGACTCTACAAGATACAGTTACATAGGGCTTTACAAAATACAGTTATATATACAAGATACAGTTACATTATAGACTCTACAAGATACAGTTATACATAGACTCTACAAGATACAGTTACATAAAGACTCTACAAGATACAGTTATATATATATATAAACTCTACAAAATACAGTTATATAGGTACTTACAAGAAACGGTTATTTAGAGACTCTACAAGATACGGTTACATAAGGACTCTACAATATACACTTATATAGACTTTACAAGACACAGTTATATAAACTCTACAAGATACAATTATATAGACTCTACAAGATACGGTTACATTGGAATTCTGCAAGATACAGTTACATTGGGATTCTACAAGATACGGTTACATTGGGATTCTGCAAGATACAGTTACATTGGGATTCTACAAGATACAGTTATACATAGACTCTACAACATACAGTTACATAGGGACTCTACAAGATACAGTTACCTATAGACTCTACAAGATACAGTTATATTGGGATTCTACAAGATACAGTTATACATAGACTCTACAATATACATTTACATAGGGACTCTACAAGATACAGTTATATATAGACTCTACAAGATACAGTTACATAGGGACTCTACAAGATACAGTTACATAGGGACTCTACAAGATACAGTTATACATAAACTCTACAAGATACAGTTACATAAAGACTCTACAAGATACAGTTATATATATATATAAACTCTACAAAATACAGTTATATAGGTACTTACAAGAAACGGTTATTTAGAGACTACAAGATACGGTTACATAAGGACTCTACAATATACACTTATATAGACTTTACAAGACACAGTTATATAGACTCTACAAGATACAATTATATAGACTCTAAAAGATACAGTTATATAGACTCTAAAATATACAGTTATATAGACTCTACAAGATACAGTTATATAGACTCTAAAATATACAGTTACATAGGAACTCTTTAAGATACAGTGTCATAGTGACTCTAAAAGATACACTTACATAGGGATTCTACAAGGTACAGTTGTATAGAGACTTTTAAGATACAGTGTCATAGTGACTCTACAAGATACACTTATATGGATACTGTATTGAATACAGGTATATCCAGACTCTCCTGAATATAGGTAGAGACTTTCTGAGAATGGTTACATGAATATTCTCCTGAATGCAGGCACATGGTGATTCTTCTCATTACACGTACCTGGTATTAGGTACTTACATATCCATGACAATCACTGATCATATTATTTACAGATCTCTGACGCTGTAGATGAATTGCACCATATGTACACAATGTTAGTGGATTTGAAGATTCCAGCGATAACTGAAATATAAGTGATGCACATTTGAGAGTTCCGTAACTAAAAGAACAATTCAGTCCTGAAGGAATATACTGAGACTTGCATGCACATAGAAACCCCAATGTCTTGACAGAGTGTATAAGGACTCCATTGCTGACAAGAAACTTTTAAGCCCATATGACATACACTCAGACTTCCGCGTTCACAGGAGATCTTATAAGTGTGCTAGCGTACGTATATGACTCCTGCTATTACTTCAGGAGATGAGTAAATCCTAATGCGTTAGTAGAAGATAGGAAATATTTAAGCCTACTATTGCACATGGAGGACACGAGGCTATAAAAATCCTTACTTTAGTGCAAAAAAGATAACCTCACCTACAGAATTCTTCAGACAATATAACTTTAATAATGTGGATTTATGTTGAGAATCCCATGACCACAGTAAAAACAACTCTTATAGCAAGAAACCATCAAATCCTTATGGAGTAAACAACTATTACGGTGATTACAGATACCTTCAAATCCTGATTGAAAAATACATAAATAACAACTAGCAGTATACGTGTAGATTTCATTAATTAGAAGGTACATTTAAACCAGATGTCAGTTATGGATATTCACCCGGATGTAGGGAACCTTCGAATTTTGCTCCCAAGTAAACTGTGATGACTAAAACGACTCTAACATTGATGGTGACTACGAAGATCACTAAGGCTACAAATAACTTTAACTGTAAACAACATAGGGATTCTAGTAGCTGTTAGAAACATTTAATTCCACCAAAGTTTAAATTCTTTCAATATACGGACAGACTTTTGCAATTAGAAAAATAATCATATCTTCATGGTATTCGGGATAACTTACATGTTTACAGAAACCGTATAAAATTTATTTACCCCTTAAAGAATACATAAAGACCAATATTATTACAAGAAACCTTGCAGTAACCACAGTGAATGTATTAAAATGTTTCTTTTAGTTACTAAAAACCTTGACTGTGTACGTGTAGACAGACACCAATAAATAGAGGTGACATTCAAACTCTGGCACCGTAAAGGGAGGCTACATGAAGTAAAGAAATCATACAGGCTTATCGTTATAATTGCAGACTTCTAAGGTTACAAAAACCTTGATGATGGACATTGGGATCAGTATGACTTCAGGATGCATATAATCCCTGACAGTGAACATGGAGACTTCTGCCAGTATATGGATACTTTAAGCTCTCACAATGAGTGGTGTAGGAAGATTCTCTTGGTTAAAAAAAGCATTGATTCTGAGGCCTGTGACTGTAGGAAGCTGTCAAACCATAGACATATAAAACAAAAATATCAACACAACTTTTTATACCTCAATGATGTACACGAAAACTTTTTTGACTAGAGAAATCTTTAAACACTGAAAATATAAATGAAAGCACGAATGTATTCACAGAGAATCTAATAATTTTTAAAAAAATGTTCAAACGCTGCTAGCACATTAGGCACTCTATGACTTCATAAAGCCTTTAAGTACCATATCAGACATTGATATCTGTGATGAAAAGTAACCACGGAACACCGAAAGTGCATGGGATGGCCCTATTATCAGAAAACTAATCAAATCACAAATGCATTCTCAGAAACTAATATCTTTAGGAAGCCCTCGAACCTAGAGACATCTGGAATATATATAACTCTAAAATACTGAGAGTGCATATAGCACTTCTTGTGTCTAGAAAAAACCTGCAAACACTGATGATGAAGAAAGAGATTGTTTGTGATATGACAACGCCATAAAACTTTCAAATCGTAATGAGATTTAAGAACAAATCTTATGACTACAAGTACCATTCACACTCTAACACAAAATTCAAATCCTGGCTGTGTTTATGGAGATTCTTATACTGTAGAAAACTTTTAACTGTTGAACGTGTGAAGTAAGAGAAAGTATTTAATACTGATGATGTATTTGAATACCCCACTGACTAAAATAGTATTTAATGATTTTAGTTGTAAGATACTTCTATAATTATCCAAATATTTGGTGTATACATAAAGGAAGACTCCTTTCAAATCATGATGACATACAACAGGTATTTCCATTACAAAATACACTACTGACAACAATAAACCTTTAAACCATTATTGTATACATGGGAACCCCCATAAGCAGAAACAAACTGACTTTGTAGATGTAGATAATTAAATACTTGAAACTTTCAAAAGTTAAAGGTTTGAGCCGCGATATGTTGTTGAGCATGCTTCACATTGTCACCTATTGGGGCGTTATAAATGTGGCGGTAAATCCAGCTACTCGGTTTAGACGTGGCCACATAGGCGGCGCATGCTGTTGACTGGTTGCCCCTTCCTTTGGTTAGCTCTAATTTAGGGATGGCTATGCCTGAATTTTTGGGATCTATGTGATAGTTTAGTTCATGATCATATAAGGTACAGTTCAGTTTGAACATCATACCAAATGTTTCATAAAAATCCCTAGAACTTAGTTAAGTACACTGGTATCTAATGATGTACTTTTAAGGTGGTTAGGCATATGTTCGCCAGAACTTCACTTAAGCATAATTATATTATTTATACTATCAGCGTGAAAATGTACTGCATCACTATATTTCACCTTAAACTTGTATTTACTATAATATCAGCGTAAAAATGTATTTCATGATAATCTGAATATTTTCTACATACTACCAACGTACAAATGTACTGCTATTCCTAGATTTTCATCTTAAACTTCGCCATAATATCAACATAAAAATGTACTACTATTTCCAGGGCTTTATCTTAAACTTGTTGTATTGACATAATATCAACACAATTATGTACTACAGTTTCTAGGGCTTCCTTTGAAACTTATCATATTTCCATAATATCAACATAGAATTGTACCACTATTTCCAGGGCTTTATCGTAAACTTGTTATATTCACATAATATCAACACAGTTATGTACTACAGTTTCTAGGGCTTCCTTTGAAACTTATCATTTTTCCATAATATCAACATAGAATTGTACTACAGTTTCTGGAGCTTCTTAAACTTATTATATTCCCCTTACCATCAACAATATCATTTATTTCAATTCCCAGGGATTCATACTATCAGTGTTAAAGTATACTGCAGTGTTTTGTTTTAAACGCACTATATTCCTTATAATGTTAACGAAAAAAATGTTGAATTCTTAAGTGTTTCGTACAAACTTAATAATATTTTCCATGTAAAATTGTCTTACAACATCTGGAATGGCATTACATTCAGGCATAAACTCATGCCAGATGTCTCTAGAGATATAGCCTTATGGGAAATATATATACAGGAGGTATTCGCCATAGGAAGTGGATAAAATGTCGTAAGCAAAACAAATGAAAATTACAAAAGCTTAACTATACGGTTATGTAAAGTACGTAAAACCTCACCTACCGAGCTTTGATTGGTTTCCACATAGTAGTATCTGTACTCTCCCGTTTTGTTAAGAAACCAATGTGCAGCCCATGGGTGTTGATCGCTGGTCATCGTGGGATTTATTTCCAGCATAATGTACAGACCTCGTGAGTGAAGCTCTTTTACTAGTTCTAAGAAGTCTTTCATTTGGCCTAAGTGTGGATCAACATTCAAGAAATCGATGACATGGCTATATTCCAGTGGATAATCCAGCGCACTGAAGATGGAACTGAGTCTGATGGATGCTACTTTAAGACTTTCTATGTAGTCTAATCTTTGAAGAAGGCCGTTGAAGTCTCCAAATCCGTCATTGTTGGAGTCTTGAAAAGAGGCAGGGAATATTTCATAGGATACGGAGCCCTGCCACCAAGCTCGTGATGGATCACAGGTAGACGACCTTCCCGTCACCAGCAGTCCTACAATCACACACAACATGGCTACCATGGACGATACGACCACCACAAGACAACCTAAACGGATCGCTGGCCAGTTCCAGTGAAGAAAAAAGACGTCTGGCGGACAGGTGATGAGACCTGGATGCCGATTTCGGAAGATATATTTGGAACTAGGCTGATTGGACAGACTTTGTTGGCCGTTTGGGTCGTGAATAGTATATAATCTTGAGCCTTCTGCTTCCAGAAGGTGAGTCGATGATCCAGGTTCAATGTGTGGGTCACCTTCAGTAAAATGATGCCTTGAGGAAATATTACTGTTGGAATTATTCGCCACAAGGGTTGACCGAACGATGTTAGGGTTAGGAAGGTACAAGTCAGCACAGTCAGCAGGGAAAGGTTCAAGGTCCGAGAGATCTGTCAAGCTTGTTGCTGCAGTACTACTGCCTTCAACTTTCAGAAATCCTGGAGAAGGACGACCCGAAGTGCGACGGATATCGGATGGAGCAAATTCAACTAAAATCTCCGGGCGTTCTTGAGTGGCTAAAGGCGGAACCAGAGTTGGCCAATCCGGAGAAGGCAGAACAGCGTTAAAACCCTTGAGATTTTTATCAAATTCTTTCTCGTCGGATTCCATCTGATACGAAAAAAAAAAAAGCGTTTACTTTCGGAAGCAAGAAAAAGTAGGCACTAAACTGTCCTTTTGCACAGCGAAAAAGACAAAGTCGTGGTAAATACATTACACTTCATTTCCGTTACAGAAACATCAAATCTTCATTACGTACTAAAAGTCAAAGTTTTAGTGTGTTTTTCTTTCCTTAACGATTTCCTAGTTGAAACATTTTTGCTAGAAGTAAAATGTCGTTTATGTTTCATGTTGATACAGAATGTGAAATCGATTTGTAGAATATTCCTTTTTTGGTTTAGCTTCTAAGTTTTCTTTAATCTCAAAATATCGAAGTACTATAAAAGCTTTAATAAATGACGTGAATTACGAGCAGCGAAGTGAGTATCATTATTACGTGGGCAAACAAAATTAATATGTCAAACAAAGTTGAAAACAGCAGACTTAATGTAATGGATGTCTTGTTCACCAACAATAAAAGATGAAATAAAGTTAAGAGCAAGAAATTAAACACCATCATTGTCTTAGAAACCGAACATGAAATAAGATTCATTCTGGTCGTGGAATAGAATTTTCTATAACATTTTTCGTTTCTAGCTATAACTATAATCCACATTTTCTTTCAAGTGAAGGTTTTCAGCTCAGACACGAGCTGTATTTCTTGAACTATAATTCATATTCGATTCTGTCATTTTTTAGGTTATTAACATATTATATTAGATTCAGTCATTTTATGTAGAAACGGATGTAAGAGCAATGTAGGTTTTTTACACTACCTGAACAAAAAGTGGAAGGACATAACAGATGTGTATATAACTAATCACAATCGAATAAATAGGAATTATTAGATAATATTAATATACGATATAATTATTTCAGGTCAGAAGTTTCAAACCGTTGAGATCACGCACAGTTTGTTCATGTGAGTACACAATATTCCTCATACAAAAAAACCACTGACAAATTACTTGACGTTAAACATCAACAAAAGATCTGTAGAACACGCGCCATTATTTATCCACCAATCTAATTTTGTGTTACATCAACTCAAGACACGTTTTCTCACATATAATCAGCAGTGAGTTGCCAGGACCGTAGTTGCTTCGTAACAAATCATATTTAAGGTGACGTGCTACTACAACTATGAGACAGTTCTTTTATTTTTTGTCATTTTATTTTTATTATGGAAAAGATAAATATAAACTTTAATTTCAGTTAGTTTCATTGTATTAAAATCTTACAAAGGTAAAAAAAAAACTTTTCTTTTAAGTTTGATTAGGTTTATTAATTTTCCGATATGTTAAAGGAATAAATAATTGAATTCGGTTTCTTTGGGATTGATATGTTATTTTTATTTTTCGGTTCTTTGATTTCCTATAGAATAAAAAAAAGACAAGAAATGCTTTAATTTTTTATTTTATTTTGTATGACGAAAATTATGGAATTATCGTTTTAGTTGAGCTTGTTTGGGTGTCTTAATATAGTATACGGAGATGATAGAAGCAGTTAGCCCCCCAGTGGCGCAGCGGTATGTCTGCGGACTTACAACGCTAGAATCCGGGTTTCGATACCCGTGGTGGGCAGAGCACAGATAGCCCTTGTGTAGCTTTGTGCATAATTAAAAACAAACAAACAAGAAGCAGTTAATATCTTAATTTAAGTTGCTTGGGTTTTTGGATGAAAGTTTTTGTTTAATTTACTGGAGCAAATTAACTTTCTATCATAGAAAAACTAGAGACAGTTTGTGTGTTTGGAATTATGCACAAAGCAACACAATGGGCTATCTGTGTGCTGCCCACCACGAATATCGAACCCGGTTTCTAGCGTCGTAAGTTCGCTGTGCTACTGGGGGGCAACTAGAGATAGAAATATTCGGCACATATCTTACGGCTGAAAGTGATACTCTATCTGCAGCTAGTGATTAGACGACGTTTCTGATGAAGATAAACGGACAAAATTCGTTTAATCATGAGATCACCAAAGATATTTTTCATTTCAACAATTTTCAATAGATGCAATGTTGAATTTTAAAATGTCTTTTTATTATTATTTTCTTTCACGAGATTAATTTATCTTATTTTGATTTATTAATTTCGTGCCAAGGGAAATATGAAAGTAATGTTGCAATAATTGAATAATGGTTCTTTATATTTGTCAATTTTTATGAAGAGAAAGATAGTAACAAAGTTTTATGTTTACTTTATACCAAGCGAAGGCTATGTAGAGTGTGATATCATATCTATATACACAAAAAAATGGTTAAAATATCCGTAAGAAAAAAAAATAACTAAGTGGTCCAAAATAGTTAAAATATTCGCAAGAGAAAAAAGATAACTAAGTGGCCCAGAAATAGTTAAAATGTCTGTAAGAGAAAAAGAACTAAATGGTCTAGAAATAGTTAAAATCTCCCAAAGAGAAAAAAGAAATAAATGGTCCAGAAATGGTTAAAATCTCCGTAAGAGTAAAAAGAACTAAATGGTCCAGAAATGGTTAAAATTTCCGTAAGAGTAAAAAAACTATATGGTTAAAATCTCCGTAAGAGAAAAAGAACTAAATGGTCCAGAAATGGTTAAAATCTACGTAAAAGAAAAATGAACTAAATGGTCCAGAAATGGTTAAAATCTCCGTAAGAGTAAAAAGAACTAAATGGTTAAAATCTCCGTAAGAGAAAAAAGAACTGAATAGTCCATAAATGGTTAAAATTTACGTAAAAGAAAAATGAACTAAATGGTCCAGAAATGGTTAAAATCTACGTAAAAGAAAAATGAGCTAAATGGTCCAGAAATGGTTAAAATCTACGTAAAAAAAATTAACTAAATGGTCCAGAAATGGTTAAAATCTCTGCAAGAAAAATAAAACTAAATGGACCAGAAATGGTTAAAACCATTGTAAGACAAAAAAATGTAAGTGGTTAATATTTCAATCAAAAGACCTACATTGAACACTTAATTACTTTTCCTTCATAGATATTTTAATAATTTCATTCTGTTCTCATATATTGTATTATATTTTGCTTATGTTTATTATATTCTATCACGGAAAAGATAGAAATTAATGTTTTACTTTATTTCGGGTTAATAATTTCCTTTGTGTTTTTTATTTTAGTTTACTTGAGTTTATTAATATGTATTACGGAAAAAATAATGTTTGCAATAATTAACGTTAGTTTAATTAGATTTATTTATTTATATTAAAAAAACACAAAGATAGCTGCAATATTGCAATGTTTAACTTTGGTTTACATGTTTAATTTTCGATTACAGAAAAGACAAATGCAATATTAAAGCGATTTTCCTGGTATCGATATCCGTGAACACTAGTTTCTTTGGAATTGTTAACTTTTATCAAGAAATGACAGAAGTTAGGTTAGGTTTGTGTCATGGAACAGAAGTAGTACTGCAATGTTTGGTTAGGTTTGTGTCATG